GTCTCTGGTATTTCGAGTAGGGATTGTCTTTTTATCCTCTGTAGGATGATTTTCAGTAGAGGTTCAAGAATATGGGACATCAAACTAACTGTCTTGTTGTAAGCACTCCAGTGTTCCTGAAACCTCCGGTAGGACAATAAATACTGATCTCACCATTTCTCCAGGTAATTTTCCTGTTCACAGATATTAAGGAAGTTCCAGATGAGATCAATACCCTTCTCTCTTAAGGATTAGGAGCATTTTGATGTATATACCATCAGAACCTGCAGCTTTTCATTTGCTGTGGGGACCAATGCACTTCTGACATCAGAATTAGTGGCCTAGATGTGACAGATCCCAGGACTAGATCTTGTGTCTCTTGCTCATTGCCAAAAAATTCTTGAACATACTCCTCCCAACGAGCACTAACATCCTCGGTCTCGTGCAGAATGCAGCTGTCTGCTACTTTGATAAAGTGTGAGGAGGAAAAGGACTGCTGACTAGTGATCTCTCTTATCATTTAGAGCATCTCTTTGGGATAACAACTGAGAGTCTTAGCTTCACTTTTATCTGCAACCACTTTTCCTTAGCTTTCTTAAATTCTTTGTAACAAAAGTTTACTAGTTCATATTGCACAGTGTTCTATTTTGGAACTTGCCGTTTTCGTAGCAGGTCTTTGGGTGGAATCAGCTTGATGAGGGCTGGTTAGGTAATCATTGTTGGTGGTTCTCAACCCAACATCGAATGTACAATAGACTCACCCACTACCGTCCCCAGGTTTGATTTACCCATTATATGCAAAACCTTGTGTGTGCTCACGCGGATGTGTGTTTCCGAATGCATACACATTCATTATATATATATATTCATATACATATAGTTATACACATATATGTATATATATTTATATATATACACACACACACACGGGTCTGTATGACGTCTGGCAAAACCTGCGGCTGCGCCCCGTCTGCGCCGCGTGAGGGGCAGTGACCCCGCCGACGCTCGCGCCGAAGTGCGCCTCGCCAAACCCGGTTTAACTATCGCGTTGAACTTGGATTTGATTAAGATTATTTAATTTCTGTTATATCTGTCGAAGTATCAGGAGAGATTAGGAACGTCTTGTGAATCTGGAGGACGAAGAAATGAAAAGCAAAGTATTAGGGAAGTGCAGTAGGTGTTTTTGAATTCAAATGCAGTGTTTCTTGGCGGGAGTGAATTGCGTCGAGAGAGCAGGGATGTGAGCATAATAATGATGATAGTGGTAATGATAATGATGATGATAATGATAATGACAGTAATGATAATGATAATAATAACAACACGTTTTAGAATCAAACAATATTTCCCGGCTTGAGCGCTGAACCGGCGTCGTGAGAGTAGCAGAAATATGAGCGGGAACGGCGGTGAAAGTAAACAGAGTCGGCGAATGAGAGAGAAAGACAAAGGTTGAAATATTGCGGCCAGCGTCAAGTGGTGTTGGTTTTAGGCAGAAGGAGAGAAATTGCAGATACACAACAGCGTGTGTACCTTTCTTTAGCGTGCGTGTGTATTTTTTTCTCAAGGATACATATGATCTAGCTCAAGCACGTCCACAGGGCACGGAAGGGATATAGACACTGGTTGGAAAAGTGGTTGTTTTTCTTGTTATATATTAATTAAAGGTTTCATCTGAAGAGGTGTTGGCGTATATAACCGCTGAGTTAAAGGGAAACTATAAAAGATAAATGATTTTCTCAGAATAAATATTTCCGAGTAAAGAACTTTTTCACAGTCTGAAGCACAGACAACAGGTGATTCAATTTACAAGACACAAGAAAACAGCAACAGACAAAATGATTTCAGAGAAAGGACAAAGACACAACAACAAAATTGAGCCGAAAACTGAGACTAAAAAGTTCAGTGAAGGAAGACTGTTATCGAGAGAATACCTAAAAGGACTGAAAAATGACAAGCATATAATCGAAAAAACAATAAAAAGACAAATAAAATAAAGGAAGTGAAAGAAGACACTTGAATCGTCCAGTAGAGTGAGTCAGCGTTCTTGGGTCACCCTCCTCCCCCCTCCCCCCCTTGCAACTGTTGTGTGTGGCGGTGGGAAGGAGAGGGAGAGATAATGGTGGAGAGGGACAGAAGAAGAAGAAGGAGAGAGCGAGAGAGAGAGAGAGAGAGAGAGAGAGAGAGAGAGAGAGAGAGAGAGAGAGAGAGAGAGAGAGAGAGAGAGAGAGAGAGAGATATGGGGAGGGGGGAAGGAGAAAGATATATATGTATATATATATATATAGATGGGGAGGGGGGGAAGGAAAAAAAAATATATATAAAGATAGATATATATATAGAGAGAGATAGATAGAGAGAGAGAGAGAGAGAGAGAGAGAGAGAGAGAGAGAGGAAGGCAGGGAGAAAATGAGAAGGGGAGAGGGAGGAAGATTTTTAAACTAAATTTAAAAGAAAAAAGAAAAAAAGTAATAGCAACAACAACAACAGCTGAAAACCTGTCAACTGACCCGAATCCCAGACG